CCTTATAAAAAGGACCCTAAAAGGTATCCTAGTTTAGAGAACTACCCATTTAGCACTCAAGGATACGATTTCCTAAAGTCTAAACTCCAATCTAGAGAACTCCCTAAACCCTAAACCCTAACCACACATGTGCAGGAACTTCGCACACCGACCTCTGAGCAGTGGCGATGGCGGCCCCATAGGGCGCCGAGAGGCGCGCGTCAGCGAGATCTCCTCGGGTCATGTATCCGTTAAGGGTTCCTTTACGGGCTCTCTCTCTCTCTCTCTCTGTCTTTTTCTCTCTCTCTCTCTCTCTCTCTCTCTCTCTCTCTCTCTCCTCTACACACACAGAGACACTTATACGATATATAAAATATGTGTATATATATACAAAGAGAGAAAGGGAGGGGGCATCCAACAGGGTCTAGGGGTGAAGGTTTAGGTTCGAGGTTTCAGGGTTTAGCATCTAGGGATTTAGGATTTGGGGTCTTGGGGCTTGAGGGCTTGGGGTTTTCAATCCTTGTAAGGTTTCATTGAGGCTCTACGGTTTCAAGGGTGTAAGGCTCCAGGGCTCAGTAGACAAGGTGTCCGGGGTCAAAGGCCAGGGTTTGGGTGCTGAGCTTTTTGTGCGTCTTGGAGCGGAGGTGCTTTGTGTGGTATGGTACCTAAATCAATATTGTTATATAGTATATTATTGGATATATTTGGTCTCTTGCTGGTACTTCCGGGCTTGTTGAGGCCTTTCCGGCTCTTGGGGTTGGGCTTGGAAGGCTTGGAACCTCGAATCGAACAGCTAAACCTTAAACCCTAAACCTGATAAACCCTAAAGCCCTAAACTCTCAAACCATTCGAGTATACAGCAAAACAGCTAGACCATCCAACACGCAAAATCACAGGAAGGTTGGGCTCCTTGGGTAACCGGAATGCCTAGAATCCACCCTCTGAGCTCTCAGCCATCTGCGTCGCCCTGCAACCCTTGCTGTCCCCAGAGAACCTTCGCACAGGGTTTGTCTCAGGGCTCCTTAGACGTTCTATGCCATGCAGCTTCAAACCAAATTTTCAGTCATTGGGTTGCAATGTAGAGTTCAGGGTGTAAAGCAAATGTTTAGGGCTCAGGTTATAGGTTTGCAGGGCTGAAAGCACTGGCAAATTATGATCTCCGGAGCTCCACTGTCTGCTTCAACTCAGCCGACACCACCCGAAACCCGAAACCCTGAACACGCTAAACCTAAACCTGAACTCTGGCTCCATTCCTCCCAAAAAGCCAATGCAACATGGACTACATCAACCACAACTGCCAGCACAAAAAAACACTAACTCCACCGAAGAACATAGTCTCCATTGAGAGACAAGGGCTAAGCGGGTTTATGATTTAGGGTCCGTGTTGGCTTAGGGCTTAGGGCTCGGCGTTCAGTCTCAGGTTATGTCTTTGCCGATTGTCTCTGGTCTGCTTGTGGTGAAACGGTGGGACCCGGAGATTTCAGAGCACCAAATGTTCACATAAAAGACAAAGAAACAAACCAACAACCTGTGTTGGACTGGACCCCGCGGTTCAATCCTGAAGGTTTCGGTTCTTTGGGGTGCTCCCCGAGAAAGACTGCGTGCTATGCGACACTTCCGTCCCCCTAATTTTGGCCATAGCCACTGCAACCCAACACACAACATACCAAAAATAGTCCTTTTCGGTGCGGAGCGAGAGCTCCGCAGCCAGAAATTGACCCCGAAAACCCACCAGAGCATGTTGACCCAGGTCTGCGGCAGTCGCCGAGAACGTGCCCCCGTGACCTCATTGGCTGGTGGAATATGTCCCAGAGTCGGCAATAAGCGAAGCATGTCTGGATGTCCCAAAACCCTCGAGGGTGTCCCAAAGATCCCAGGTCTAGGGTTCAGGGTTTAGGGTTTCGAAGCTTAACGGTTTAGGGTTCTTTGGTTTATGGTTTGAGCATGTTGGGTGCTGAGGGTCAGTAGCGGCGAGAAAGTCCGGCGTAAATGCTTGGCCAAATATCAATGTCTGACTTCTTCACACAGTCGCTTGTTGAGGGGCAAGGGCTGGTCATGATGCGCTCTCCAAGACAGCCAAGGAAGTCGAATGCATAGAACCAAACCGTCTCTCACAGAAGGATGGTATTTAGATCCGTCTTGCGAGCCTAACTCCCACTTCCTGCAGTATTCCTCGTCGGGCACCAACAACAAAAGGTCTCACGGCAAGTTCGGAACCCGTCGGCCCGGCTTGAAGTTCCGAATCAGAGAAGCTTTGTGGTTCGGGTTATGATTTCATAGCCCCACACTTCAACACATCAAAAACTAATCATTGTCTTTACACTCTTACTACATCTCCAAGCCCTTGAAGCTTTAAGCCCTCAAGCCGGGTCCACGGGTGAGCAAGTAGGTAAGTAGGAGGGAGTCATGGAGAGAGCAGCCCTGTCTTAGCCGAAATTTTGGGGTAGGATGCTTTGTTGAAGGAGGTTCTATTCTCTGGAATCTCTGAGTAAGGCGTCTGGAAGGGGAACTAGCAAGATACTCACAAAACAACTCTCATCCTTTCACGGACAGTCCCATGATGCTTGAAGCACACACACACACACACAGACGCGCACACACCGACACGCACAAACGAGCACATACGCGCCCACACATCCTACCATTTCTATGGGATAGGATACGGCCGTATTCGAGAGCTTCCTTTCCTTCAACCCAGACCTCTCAAACCGAAACCTCCAACCCCAAACCCTAAATCCTGAACCCTAAAAACCCCACTTTTGCCCCTAGGCTTGGGTTGTAAGACCGAAGCCGAATGCCCCAAACCTCAACCCCGATGCCTAAACCTGCCAGTCAGCTAGCCTCTGAAAGATAAGGGTGTATAAGGGTAATACAAGGGTTTAGGGTTCAGGCCAGGGGGCATTACCGAATGGAATAGCATGGAATAGCATATCGAGGTCCGTGTTATACAATGTGAATTATCAATAAACTGAAACCATGAATTCAACCCAAGGAATAATGGTATTGGCAGCTATTCAGATTTCTACAATACCCTGGTATCCTCCAGTATTCAGTCTGAATGGGAAGCCTCAAATCAAAAAAGCTAGTGGGGGCGCAGAATTTCAGGCTAAAGCAACGGTACTACTGGGCGAGTTAGAAACCCAGTTGCAACATTGGAGTCCCCTGAACCTAAAAACGTTGAGCCATTTCGGGGATGTGGCCGTGAAGAGCGTGCACAGCGTGGCCGACTTCCTTGTTTCAGTTCTTGGGTCTTTTGCGGGGTTTCGAGAAAGCGGTATACCGTATACAGTAGTGTCGGTTCCGACAATATCATCAAAATGGTTTGGTTCAAGGGCTTGGGGTTTCGGTTTAATCTTCTGAGTGTATGGAGCTGTGTGGATGCAGCACGTCGGACTTCGTAGCCTACCACATCCATGTCGAATTCCTTGCTTTGTAGATTGGCGAAGTTGCAAAAATTGTCGGTGATCGATTGAATTGAAAGGCGCTTCATGGAACATGGTTGAGCATTCAATCCTTTTGTGGAAGGGGCCAGGCCAAGCGGTGTCTTTATGCATCTTCTCGGGAAGCGGGGCCTACGAAGCCTTATCAGCAAAGTCAATATTCACCACTGGTGATACAGACAGGACACACCTGGAAACCCAAAATTGGAAAATTAACCCAAATCATTCCACGGCTGGGTTAAGGTCGCCGAGCAACATCAACAGCCAGCAGCCGACGGTTGTCAAACAGATCCTTGGCGAGAAGAAATTGGGAGTCTGAATTAATGCGGTGAGGTGTTTTTCTGCTGGGGAGCCCTGAAGGATGGAGTGTTGTGCAAGAACAAGGTTTTGGGGTTCAGGGCTCACTGCCAGGATCTGAGTAGGATTGAAGATTTCGGTTCAGGCATTAGGGTCGCGAAGGTTACGAAGTTGCAGTGCCCCAGCTCCTCCTGGCACGTAAGCTTTTGGCCTCACGAGAACAAGCAATATCATAATGTCGAATCCGCAAAGTGTAACGTCTTAAAGCGAAAATCGGAAGAAAGCCTAAGCTGAGAATGCTTTCATCATCGCTCTTGGCCCAATGGTCGTCGTCTTGGTGGCGGTGGTGGTGAGTGTAGCGGTGGTAGTGGAAGTGGAAGTCGAAGCGGGAGTGGCATCAGAACATTGCCGCCCTACTTCAACAAACCCCGAACGCCCCGCCCTTGAGCCTTGTGTCCCTAATAGACCCCCAAAACTCCGAAGCCCCTGCATCCCGCAACCCTGAATCCCAAAACTGCCCATAACTCTACAATGTTACACTGTTCTAGCACAGCTGGCAATCAGCCCTGAAGCCCTGAAAACCCTGGCTCTGGCCAAATTATAACATTCAAGAGACTAGCAAATGCAAGCAAATGCAGAATTTGAAGAACACGGCGAGTCACCTGACACCCGATACTAGGTGCCCCAGCCTTTCCTAATGATAGGTGTAGTTTCTCAACCGTACACCGTAGACCCGAAACGCTACCTCAACCCTAAACCCTAAATCTTCTGTTGTTTAAGAAAACCGAGAGGCCACGACGAGGCCGGTGAAGTGGGCTCCAGGCACCTCATGCCGGCTCTGCGAAACTGATCATAGATAGAACCATTGCTTGCGGTGACGGGTTTAGGGTTTAGAGTTTACTGCTTGGGTTTAAGTAATTAGTTGGGCGATTTAGGGCTCATAGGCTTCAACCTTAGGATTCGAGGCTCCCCTCAGCGCTAGGAAGTTAGGGAACGTTTGTCAAGCAAGTGACGACCCGGCTTAGCGAGAAAGCACGCAGCCAGACGGGTTGCCAGCGAAGGTCAATTGTCTCCCAAGTTGCTTGGCTGGCTCCCTGGTACTGGTCCGTAGATTTGACACCACTGTGCTTGGAATGCTCCGATGAAGGGGCTGGAAACACTCTGGAGATTCCGACTCCTGCCAACTTGGCGACCCAAGGCTGAGTGCATGCGAGCAGTCGAGGCAAAAACGAATCCCGAAACCTGTGCACACCAAGGTGCAACCAGGTTTCCATGGGAAGGCAAGTCCGCGCTGGCATGATTGCACAAAAAAAGACCTCAAACAAACCGTCCGGGATACCAGTACTTTCCAATCCCGCTGCGTGCGTTCCTTGTCAGCTGTCGACTAAGCAAGGCTGCCGAATGAGCAGGGCCGCACTGAGTCAGAGAGCAAGGGTGAGCGAAGCCTGGTCCCAAACTTGCAGCAGTAGCGCGCCGGCTCTGTTTTGTCCGACGCACATCACCCCCGGCTCGCGGGGGGAGGGAGGGGCATGCTAGGGATGTTTGGGACTAACTAGGGGGATCGACCAGCAACATCTACTGCTACTGTAGCAAGGAGTGTACGCACACCTTCCCTGCCAGGACGGCAATTACGCAGTCATGGACGATCACCTGAAGGTGTCAAGACCCTCCTGTGACTCCTGGGGCAGTCGGCGCACTGCCTTGTTGCCAAAAAGACGTCACCCCCAAGCACGAAACCTCTCCTCCGATAGCTTGGATAGCAAGATTCGGTTTTCCTGGCCGGATGAACACGGAATTGCTCGGTTTGGTTCGGGGGAAAGGAAAGGCAAGTTTCGTGTGGCTCACGCAGTGGCTGATGCCTCCTCCAGCTTCTCCACTCTTTCTCGCAGATCTTCTTGAGCCTGGCGCTGGACATGGGTATGATCCATGGCAAAGGGTGAGATGCCTTGCGTGAGCGGCGGGCCACGGTGTATGCGAACAGCACACGGTACATGCGCCTAGGATGTTTGGCACGCACGTGTGGCTGACCGCTGCCATGGAAGCAGTTCAGTGGCAAGAACCTGGTGTTCCCCAAGATCTCGAGCGGAAGTCCCAAGCCAAAAAAAGGGTGGTCTCAGAGTGATGGACTCATGGACCTGCTGGGTGGTCTCGGTTGGCACATCGGCAGCCGCCTCCAAATCGGGCAACCATGCTGTGGTAAGGCTTGCTGTTGCTCCCGCAGATCTTTGCCCCAACTCCGAACCCCAAACTCAAAGCCACAATAGACACAAGCACCTGGGCCTCGGAAGATTGCAATGCCACCTGCATCAGGAAGACTGCTGCTGCTGCAATCGACAAGTTCTAAGGCAAAGGAACTCAAACCTGAGGAGAGAACAGACGCTGAAGATTGGAGCTCCCTGTACTTCTGATCTCTGGCCTGCGAACCACAAACTGTTTTCAACAAGACAGCACACAGTCAATGAGCCTGTTTTGCCATCTTCCTCTTTTGGCTCTTGCTCCTTGATGGGGCTCATGCTGCAGACCAAGCATCGAGAAATTGATGCAGGAACATGGTAATTGCCACGCAAGAACGGGAGTCCAAACCCTCAGCTCCGCGCAGAGCGGGGTTGGAATCCATCGCTCCCCCTCACAGGATACGCCGTAGAGCCGAGTCTGCACATGTAAGTAAACCTCAGCCATGACTGAACTGGCTTGCAGCACGCACAAGGGTTCTTCAAGGAAGCCATCTTGACAGGATTTCATTCACTCAGACTGTTCACTGACTCACAACTATATAGCTCTTCAGATCATGGGATGTCACACGAACTGCTCCCGATCCACATGACGTTGTCGTAAGTTGCAGCTTCGATCGCTTTGGTCTCCCAAAATCCTTCTGGCGGAGACGCTCTGCGCCCAGCGCCACCAGCTCGTCGTACTTCTTGGACTAGCCCAGGAAATGCACCTTCGAAGGCAAGAGTCTGGAAGCCTTTGTACGGGTGTTTGTCGAAACATCGGGTGTCGCATCATCGATTCACAGCAGATTGGGTGCATGGGCAAAGATAGATTGATGATATTGCCGACGCTCCCGCGATGACGATTGGCAAGAAAATGGCCATGAGGAGGATGGTCGTGACGACGGCGGCGGTGATGAAGATGATAATGGCGATAGGCGATAGCGATCGTGGTGATGTTGATGATGCCCCGGAGGATGATGACGGTAACGCGGAAGAGGGCATGGTCTATGGAGCAGTGGAGGTGCCGATGCTTGCAGCTCGGCCTTGACAGGCTTGCGCTCCTCAGATACACTTCCAGCACCTCAGGAAGCTAAAGAGCGCCGAGCACGGCTTCCCTCTGCAGGCTCCAAGACTCCCAGCATCAGGGCGCACGTCCACGGCGGATACGCTTCAGGGCCTTCACCTCGATGCGAGGAGCCAGCACCATCAACAGAGCGGCCCACTGTGGGCGCCAGAATCTCAGAATAAAGATGTGTCTGTACTTTTTATGCGGTCCGTTACGCGTTCCAGAGCCAGAGCTGGCCTCCTTGTCGAGCTTTCGTCTGTATTTGAGCACAAGTACGTGCAGGAGTGAAGTAACTTTGTCATGATCTGTGGTCCAGGTGTCACTGGTCCTTTAGACTTTACCTCAGAGGCCGCATCGTCGGCATCCATGCTTGCTGGCAAAAGCCGCATTACAAGCTTCTGGTTGCCTAGACATTCAAATAGCTTTGTGTGCCTGCTCAGTACGAAGTATGTCCGGCGTAGTTCTCAACTGATTGAATCATGGGTAGATGTTTAATACCTAAACTTCTGGTAACCGGCAAGTATGCCGTGCCTTCTTCCACCTGAAGGAACTGCTTGTCATCAGCCAGGGAAAACTACGTCAAGAAAACCACCCCGAGACCATCGAGAGGACAGGATTGAATTGTTGATCAAGATCAGGACGGATTGAGCCAAGGCCATGGCGAATGGGAAGCAAGCTGCAACACTTGGTCGAACCTCCTCGAGGTCGATGTCTGTGGCAAGCGTCTTGAGCAGCTGTGGCTGAAAAACAGGGGCTCCAGATTGAGAATATGGGGACTTGGTCATGGAGCCTTTGTCTTGTGAAGCCAAAGTCTCACCACTGCATCTGTCAACACCTCCCACAAACGAAAAGTCACAGGCCCCTTCCAGCCCCGCAGGTGCAGCAACTTAGCTCTTCTCGGGACAAAGTAGCGGCTTTATTTGTTAAGAATGAAGGACCTGAAGCCTTTGAAGCCAGCAAGACGCAAAGGCCTTCGATCGGAGAGATTGCAAACAAGAGCGAGAGAGAAACTGCAGGAGGCAAAGGTGTTGCTGGCACGTAGCACGCCTGTGAAGCATCGGTCCTGGACAAGCACAAAGAGGCATGCGGCTTAAGCTACCGAAGCCCAACGTGTGGCCACGCACGATGACTCAAATGAAAACCCACCACCAGCGCATCGAATTGAATCCATTTGAAGCCTGCATGCTTTTCTGCAACCGACATTGCAACCTGCGACCTTCAAGCAGTTCAATGATTCCCTACTCGGGATATTCAGCCAGCAGGTGTTAAGAAGAAAAAAACCACTCAGCCCGTCAGCTCTGCAGAGCACGCAAGTCACCTCCAAAGAACAAGAAGATCCAGAAGCCTCACACCCTGCTTTTTCGGCCCTCATGAACCTGCGTCACCGCACGCGATGCAGCAAGAAAGCCTTCCTTAAAGAACTCGTCAGCCATGAAGCCCACTCTCCCGTTCCCGGCCGCTGCTGACTGACGGGTGACTCACATGCTTGCCTGGACCTAAACATAAGCAAGCGCATCATGAACTGCAAAAGCATTTAAGGTGAGGAAAGAGGGCCTAGGGCCGAGGGGTCTGGCTTTGGGGCTTGGGGTTTAGGGCTGGGCGTTTGAGGCTTTGTATAAAGCTCTAGATTAGGCTGTTTTTGTTTTCAACACATTAAGCAGCTACGACCCTACACTATATTAAGGCCTATTCTGAACCCTACAACCTAGACAAGAAACCCGACACAAGTTCTTAGGCACGGCATCTCCGGCGACTCTTGACGGGTACCTGCTCACGTGGTAGCTCTGCCCTAACATAAGCTAACATGCAACGCTGAACCTGGAGCACAAATAAGCTAAATCTATTCCAGAAGAATGTCTACTGAACCCTTGTTTTGCCGTTTCCGACATGGCAGCTGGGTTTAGATCCTCTTGAACTTCCAGGGTATGGGGC